ATGATCCGCCTGCTTCGGTCTCCCAAAGAGTTGGGATTACAGACGTGAGCCACTGCACCGGGCCAAAATTTACCATTTTAGCCATTTCAAAGTATTCAATTCAGTGACAGTAAGTACATCCACAGTATTTTGCAGCCACAAGACTGGCTGGACAGGGTACAATAGACCCCTGTCTAGTTCCATTGCACCCTCCTTGCCCCTGGCAGCCACAACCTGCTTTCTGTACCTATGGGTTTGCCTTTTCTGGATATTTCATGTAAATGGAATCATACAGTATGTGTTTGTGTGTGTGTGTGTGTATGCGTCTGGCTACTTTCAGTTAGCATAATGTTTTCAAGGTTCATCTGTGTTGAAATATGCATTGGTCTTCCATTGCTTTTTGTGGTTGAATAGCATTGCGTTTTATGGATAGATCACCTTTTATTGATTCATTGATTAGTTGGTGGACATTTGGGTTGATATCATCTGTTGGTTTTTGTGAACGATGCTGTATTCAAGTAGAAATTTTGGTTTGAATGCTTGCTTCCAGTGTTGTTTTTTGGGCATATAGCTAGGTGTGGAATTAGTGGGTCGCGTGATAATTCTATGTTTAACTTGTTGAGAGTCCAAATCCCTGCCAAACTCTTTTCCACAGTGGAAGCACCAGCTGTGTATAAGGGTTCCAGTTTCTTCATAGTTTCACCAACACTTATTTTTCACTTTAAAAAATACAGCCATCCCATGGGTATGAATTGGTATATTATTGTGCTTTTGATTTTCATTTCCTTGATGACAAATAACATTAAGCATCCTTCTATGTACTTCTTGGCAAATATATGGCTTTTGAGTGAAAAGTTACTCAGATGCTGGGCTGGTGTTGGGGCTGGGGTGGCTGCAGAGACGTTCATTAAAGGATACAAAATATCATCTAGAAGCAGTCAGTTCAAGAGATCTATTGTACAATGTAGTGATGATGTTACCAGTTAATACCAATATATGGTAATCTTTAAAAATGCAAAGAGAGGGCTGGGCATGGTGGCTCATGCCTGTAATCCCAGCACTTTGGGAGACCGAGATGGGTGGATGATCATGAGGTCAGGAGTTTGAGACCAGCCTGGCCAAGATGTTGAAACCCTATCTCTACTAAAAATACAAAAAATTAGCTGGTCACAGTGGCACACATCTGTAATCCCAGCTACTCAGGAGGCTGAGGCAGGAAAATCGCTTGAACCTGGGAGGTGGAGGTTGCAGTGAGCCGAGAGCGTGCCATTGCACTCCAGCCTGCGTGACAGAGTGAGACTCCATCTCAAAAATAAATAAATAAATAATGCTAAGAGAGTCCTGCTCAGAGACTCCCACCTATAATTCCAGCACTTTGGGAGGGTGAGGTGGGAGGATTGCTTGAGCCTGGCGGGGTTCAAGACTAACCTGGGCAACATAGCGAGACCCTGTCTCTATTAAAACAAAATGCTAAGAGACTAGATGTAAGTGTTCTTATCACAAAAACTAACCTATGTGAGGTAATACGCCTTTGTTAGCTAGCTGGATTTAGCTATGCCACAACGTATATATACGTCAAAACATGTTGTACGCAACAAACACACAGCTTATTTGTCAATTATTAAAAAAAAGTTGGGGGGAAGCACAGTGGCTTACGCCTGTAATCCCAGCACTTTGGGAGGCCGAGGCGGGCAGATCACAAGGTCAGGAGTTTGAGACCAGCCTGAGCAACATGGCAAAACCCTCTACTTAATTAGCTGGGTGTGGTGGCAGGTGTGTGTAATCCCAGCTACTCAGAAGGCTGAGGCAGGAGAATTGCTTGAACCCAGGAGGCGGAGGTTGTAGTGAGCCAAGATCATGCCACTGCACTTCAGCCTGGGTGGCAGAGCAAGACTCTGTCTCAAGAAAAACAAAACAAAACAAAACAAAACAAAACAAAACAGAAAAGAATAAAGGAAATAATTTTTGAAAACTTATTCATTTGGGTGGTGTTTTCCTCCACAGGCGTGAGTTTTGTGTGCAGTGACTGAGACTGCAGGCGCCAGGGGCAGACAGCCCAGGGCTCTAGTCTACATTCTCTGGCAGGAATTTGGGTAAACCTGACGTCTCTGTGCCGCCTGCCCTGCTGTAAAATGGAGATGAGAACAGTGGCTTCACCATTGGGCTTTGTGGGACTCGAGGGGGACTCGTGGAGCATCTGGGCACAAAGCAAGCACTCTGGAGTCATTCATCATTGCCACTGTGGTCACAAGCGAGGAGATCGGTGATTATTTCCATGCGTCTTCCTTGTGGGTCTAGCAGGCTGCCTTAGCTTCCTCAGAGGAGGAAGATTGTCTGCAGGAATACGCATTGGTTGCTCATCCGCTGTTCGAGGCCCAGGCGGCCCTTAGTAGGTTGCTGGGGGCAGCAGGCAGGTCTTTGGTTCATTGTGTTTCTTGCTTGACTTTTGTTACTTCTGGTCCAACCTCCAACTTACTTTTGCAGGTAAGGGAGCGCTGTTTCACTAGTGCAGTGCCTAAGAAAGCTGGTGGCTGAGACAGTTCCCAGCTTTTCATACCGCTGCTCTTTGGGTCTCCTCGTGAGCCTCAGCCACCAGAATCAGGTTCCAGGTTTTCCTGTGGCAGCATCCCCCTGCAATGGTTCAGAGCCGATGGCAGGAGCTAGCCTCATACCTCTCTGGCTTTAGCATCTGAGATACTGTTTTCACCGTGTTGCTCTTTTACATGTTTAAACCTCCTGAAGTTGATGGGCCTGTGTTGAGATGCAGTGAGTAGAGTTTCCAAATTGGGAAGCAGTTTTTTTTTCTTTCTTTCTTTCTTTTTTTTTTTTTTTTGGTAGAGACGGGGTTTCACCATGTTGACCAGGACAGTCTCGATCTCTTGACCTGGTGATCCACCCGCCTTGGCCTCCTAAAGTGCTGGGATTATAGGCGTGAGCCACCGTGCCCAGCCTGGGAAGCAGTTTTTAATAGAATTCTTGTTTGCCTTCAATTAGGAAAATTTTTGTATAGAGCTGCTCAAGAATGATATTCTGGAAACTTCTTTTGCAAACTCTCAGTACACCTCTTCAGAGAGGCAGTGTGGTGCTGTGCCCAGAGCAAGGGGGTTTGGCAGTAGATGGATCTGGGTTCGAATCCTGGGTCCATCCCTTACCAGTTGTGGGACTTAAACAAGTTACTTAATCTTTTGGCGCCTCGGGTTCTTCACCAATGAAGTGAGAAGGATAATGGAGCATAGCACCTGGCAGAGGATGGCTGTTGGTCACACGAGCCTATAAAAATTGAGCATCGTGACTTTTAATGTGGTCGAATATACATAACGCAAAATTTACCATTTGAATCACTTTTAAGCTTACAGTTCCGTGGCATTCATTACAATGTGTTTAACATTTCCTTATTTCCTTTTTAGAAGAGTTTAGGCTCCCTCATCTTACTGGTCCCTGAAGGTTGTCTCCTGCTTCCCTTCCCTACCTTCTTGCAGCAGGCTGGGCAGTTCAGTTCAGCAGAGTGCTAATTGCTCTCCGGAGTGGAAGTTCTTTAACCCAGGGGGAAGTATAGGTACCTGTGAGGCTTGGCTATTAATAGAGGATTTCTCAGGGTCATTAAGTGATTATGCGGAAGGCATTAACTGGCCTCTGTTTTTGAAGGGAGGAGGAGTCTTCTGTTTACGAAGATATTTTACGGTTTATTAACACTTCTCTGAGTAGGGGATGGGGAGAAAAGGATTCAGATTCTTTTTTGCTGTTTGTAGAAACTCTAGGAAGAAGAGGAATTTGAAACTGTTTAACCATCGTGTCTTCAGGTTATTTCAGCACTTCTTTAATCTGTTCTTTGGAAACGTGCTGTAATAAATGCACTGCTTTGGAGATATTCTGACATTGCTATTGCCTCCTTCCCTCCTTCATAAGTGTCATAATTTCCAAGATCTGCCTTATTCTTTACTTACTGTCTTTATGGAACTGTAAACTTTGGTGGGGGAGGGGGCTTTAATACATTCACAGGGTCAGTGATGTGTGTGTAATATTTTTAAAGAACAGTACACAAATCAGCATCTTTGTATTGAATTTCTCATCAGATGACCTATTAAATGTTCTTACAAAACACAAATAAAGTGATTGTGCCAGACTACAAATTACTATTCTTTCTATAATTCCAGTGTTGGAATATCTTTTTAAATTATTTTTTGAAAGAAAAAAATTTTTTTATAGCAATGGGGTCTCACTGTGTTGCCTAGGCTGGTCTCAAACCACAGGCTTCAAGCAGTCCTTCTGCTTGGGCCTGCCAGAGTGATAGGATTATAAGCGTGAGCCACTATGCCGGGCTAGAACATCTTTTATTAATGCAGTCTTAAAAAAACCCAACCTCCCTAATGAAATAATGGATGGAGGCAGTGTTGATCAGTGACTGCTTAGTCATTATGTGAAGAGTTGATGAGGAGCCTTGTAATGGGTGGAGAGGGCTGTCACCTCTTAAGCCCTTGACAAATTTTAGTATCACTCAGAATAGGACATTGAGAAATCAGGCACCTCCTGCTGTGATACAGTGGAATTACAGAGGACCCCCTAGAGAGTATTCTTGCCAAAAACATTGATTCTGAACCTAATGAAGCCTCTTGATCTAACAACCAGTTTATCAGAAATTTGGGGGAAGAACATATTCAATGACACCATGAGAAGATAGTCAGCCAAATACAGAATGTGGACTGTCTACAGGGACAAGTGACCTCTCTTCAACAAGTAAATAGTGAGAGCTTAAAAAAGGGAGAAAAAAAAAGAGGAGAAAACTGTTATAAAGTTAAAGAGACCTAAGAGACACATGAACCAAAGCAATGTGTGTACGTTGTTTGGATTCTGGTTAGAAGAAAGCAATTGTACTGGTACACAACAATATTTTTGTACAATAACAAGCTCTGTCGGGCCTTTTTTATAAGGACAGTAATGCTATTCATGAGGCATTGGGGTCCTCATGACCTATTCACCTCCCAAAGGCCACCAAGGAAAACCAAGTTTGAAATGCATAATTAGTGTTTGCTTCAGCAGCCCATATACTAAAATTGGAACGATACAGAGAAGATTAGCATGGTCCCTGTGCAAGGATGACACCCAAATTCGTGAGGTGTTCCATATTAAAAAAAAAAAAAAGAAATGAGATACATAATTAGGTGATATTAGGAATTATTTTGAATTTTGTTGGGTGTGATAATTATATTGTGGTTATGATTTTTGAAAAGTCCTTATCAGAGATGCTAAAGGATTTATAGAAATGAATGATGTCTAGGATGTGCTGTATTTGTGTTTTAAAAATAAAGTTTTTCGGGTTGAAGTTGAGTATTGGGTTCTAGTCTTTCCACTTTTGTGTATGTCTGAAACTTTTATAATAAAATGTTTAATCATTTTTTTTGAGAGAGGGTCTCACTCTGTCACCCATGCTGGAGTACGGTGGCTGAGATCTCAGCTCACTGCAGCCTCTGCCTCCCAGGTTCAAGCTATTCTCCCGCCTTAGCCTTCAGAATAGCTGGAATTACAGGTGTGCGGCACCACGCCCAGCTAATTTTTGCATTTTTAGTAGACACAGGTTTTTGCCATGTTGGCCCGGCTGGTCTTGAACTCTTGTCCTCAGGTGATCCACCCATCTCGGTCTCCCAAAGTGCTGGGATTACAGGCATGAGCCACTGTGCCCGGCCTATAATAAAAAGTTTAAAATGCCAAAATTGGGTTGTTTGGCAGCATTTAAACATTTTATCGTAATAGCAAAAACAAGCATAGAACTCTACATGGAAGGGACTGCAGCTTTAGAAAATTGCCTTCTGGCTTATCTATAGATTCGATCTGGTTAGTTTCTCGTCAAATTCATATTTACATTAACTTCATGTCATTCCTTATCATGGAGTCCCACAGAGCCCTCAAATAAACCAAGAGAAGTCATCATTATAGACACTTAGAGAGTTAATGCTATGGATAATTGCTAATCAGTAGGCTCTTCATACCAATAAGCAGGCAGAACAGGGGGTTTGAGAAAGATTGCCAGTGAATGGAAATAAATTAAGGAAGGATGAGAATGAATAATATGTATGCTTGACTGAATTGGATTACAGAAGTCTATGTAACTGGCACTCAGTGTGGTATGTGTCTTAGTCTGTTTGGGCTGCTATAACAAAATAGCTTGGACTGGGCCATTTATAGACAATAGAAATTTATCACTCACAGTTCTGGACGCTGAGAAGTCCAAGATCAAGATCATACATAGCAGACTCGGTTTCTGATGAGGGCTTGTTGCTCATAGACAGCGCCTCCTGTGTGTCCTTATATGGCAGAAAACTCTCTCGGGCTTTTTAAATAAGAACACTAATCCTTTTCATGATTAGGGGCCCTCATGACCTAATCAACTCCCAAAGGACCCTTCTTCTTCTTCTTTTTCTTTTTTGAGACAGAGTTTTGCTCTTGTTGCCCAGGCTGGAGTGCAATGGTGAGATCTTGGCTTACTGCAACCTCCGCCTCCCGGGTTCAAGTGATTCTCCTGCCTCAACCTCCTCAGTAGCTGGGATTACAGGCACCCGCCACCATGCCCAGCTAATTTTGTATTTTTATTAGAGACAGGGTTTCTCCATGTTGGTCAGGCTGGTCTCAAACTCTCAACCTCAGATGACCTGCCCACCTTGGCCTCCCAAAATGCTGGGATTATAGGTGTGAACCCCCGTGCCTGACAGGCCCTATGTCTTAATACCAACAGCTCAGGGTTAGGTTTGAACATATGAATTTTAGGGTGACACAAATATTCAGACTATAGCAGTATGATTGCTAAAGTTGGCCCCTCCTGACTGCAGCAGAGCACCCTTAAATGAACGTGTTACTGAAGGGCTTGGAGGTCAAACTCCCCCCACCTTCCTTGATATCATTTGACCCCAATGATCATCTTTCTACAGGTAATCACCAATCTGTATCGTTGGCCCAGATTTCTCTCTCAAACCGTAGAGTCACATTTCCATCCACCCCAAGTTGGCACCTCACCTTCCATTTGAGCTTCAAATGACAGGTTCCCCTTGGTGACCCACACCATTCATATCAGCCATTTGCACATCTGTCAATCTCCTTCCCACTTCAGGCCGCTGCACTCGCCACCCCCTCTGCCTGCAGCAACCTTCCTGTCTCTTTCTCTCTCAGCTCCTCATCCTTTCCTGACCTTCCTTGTCTGTCATTCTCCATCCCAGCACCTTGCTTATTTCCTTACCAGTCTTCTCAGTTCATCATTATTGTCTGTCTCCTTTTCTCAACCATGAAGTTGTGAACAGGGGACCTTTCCATCTTGGCTAACACTTCATACCCTGCGCTAAGCTCACATGGCTGGTAGTATTTGTTGGACTTTGAATAAATGAATGTTAGTCTTTGGGTTGGACAATGGGAGGCACGCTGATGAGACACAGCCTCTTCCTTCAAGTAGCTCGTGATCTGGGGTGGGGTGAGGGGGACAAGTGAGTAATGAGGAAACCAAGGATACAACTTCAGTGTCATGAGAAAAGCACATGCAGAGTTCTGGGGAAGATGGAAAAGGGGGTTCTCGGGTATGATAGGAGTTAGGGGAAGGAAGAGAGGCCAGTACCAGTAAAGGGAACAGTCTGCAAAGGCGTGGTGGTCAGAGCACGCGTCGAATGGTTGGGGCATGGGCTGCTGTGGGGAAGGGGGATCCTAGTGGGACAGGCAGGAATGGGGAGCTGAAGGCTCTTTTGTGTATCAGCTGAGGGCTTTGGATTTCTGAAGGCTTTTAAGAGCCACTGGAGGATTTTAAGAATAAATGACTTAGTTCGATTGTTTCTTTTCTTTTAGATGAACTTCATGTATACAGAATGGATTGATCAGCTCTGTGTGTTAGAAAACTCGAGATGGATTGGAATAGGCTAGAGGAGACTGCAGAGCTTAGGGTGGGTTATGGCTGGTAGAGAGAGACCATAGCCTGTCTGATTACCATGGCCAGGAACACACACCTCTGATCAGGGCCAGAGCAGTGACAGGACGGGGTTTCTCAGCACACCTTCCCTTGGCCCACAGCCCCAGCGTTTGGGGTGTGTGTGTTGGGGGGGTGGGGGGAGTCACACATCTCTAGTGACACTGCTTGGACAAGTTGGGAACTTGCCATGCTGGAAGTACTGCCCCCCTTTGCATATAGGGCTTATCACACCACCTAAGACGCACTATAGACGCCATTTAAAAGGATGTTTGTGGATGCCGTGGCCTCTCCTGGTTTCCGAACCAAACTCAGAGCGGGCGAGGAAGCAGGCGATGTCTGTGGTCTCAGGACACCTCTGCCTCCTGCGCTCCAGTGTCATGGAAAGCCTGTCTCCCACAGAAGCTGTGCAAGGCGGGGTTCTGAGCAGGTCTTCATAAGGTCTAAGTTAATTGGTGGCGGTGGGAGGAAGGCGTGTGAGGGTCAACAGTGCTAGCAGGACCTGGCTGTGGGCACGAGATGTTAAGTGGCATATGGGGGAGGGTCAGAGTTTTTTAGGAGCCTGTTGAATACTAAGGTGGAATTGCCTAGTGGGCAGTTGGAACTGTGACTTAGAATCAGCTGTGACTTTTCGTTGTCTTCCCCATCCATCCCGTTGGTGCTGAATTTGATCATCTATCTTACCTTAGTGCAGCCTCTCGGACTTGGAACTTCTTTTCTGTTGCCTTCACTGTCCTGATCACACTCCTGGCCCCATCAGCCATGCATATCTGTGTGTATGATGGAGCACTATTTTATGCTTCTTTCTGCTCTCCCAGATTGATTTTTCCGCAGGATAACTTTGGTCAAAAAGCTGCTGTGCTCAAAATATCCGATTGCGCCCTATTGTCTGTCGACGTTCTCACACCCTTGGGCCAACTTTTCTAGTATTATTCTCTCCAGCCAAATCCAGCCACTGCAGACACATCCCACTTTGTCCAGATATGGTGCCTTTGTCCTTGCTGCTGCTTCCAGCTGGTGTGACCCCTCTCTCCCTTAAGCCTCCTGATCCCTTGATATAAAATAAAAGCTTAATTTAGAGCCGAATTAAGGCATTGAGCCTGCTGCATAAGCTGTTTACTGTTTGTTGGACTTAATACCCCCCAGGGAGGCGGTGGTGTCTCCTGGCTGCTTGGGCATTGGTGTGGATGTTCACTGCTGCTGGCTCCTGCTGTTGGGAGGCGGGAAAGTGCCTGCTCATGCTGAGTCATGGGATGTCGTGTACCACCCCTGCTCTGAGCGTAATAGGAGACAGAAGATTATCTGGAAGCTGATAGTGTCCTTTTCCCTGTTGTTCCAGGACTGTGTTTTAAATTAAATTATTTTAGAAACAGATGGTCGACAGAGAATTTTTTTTGCCTTTGTTCTTAGTGAATTGAGTTATTTAGTTGAGTTTGTTTTGGTTACTCAAAGTGCTGACGATCTTGCTTTCTAGGTTGGTGAAAGAGGATTGCGTTTTATTTGGGAAAGAATAAAGCAAAACAAAGCAAAACAGAACATCTTCTAATAAATACTGTGCACCTTGCCTTCAATTAAACCAACATTTTAATATCCTTAGCTCCTCAAATGTCATGTACAGAAGTAGTTCCTAAACCCCAACCTGGTGTTTTAGGTAGAATGGTTGAATTTTTTTTAAGTCTTGCCGTATCTGTATTTCAGTATTGTTTGGTCGCAGTCATTGTTTTCTGAAGTTACACATGAGTTCTCTTTATGTTTGGGTGAGGTCACTAATTGTTATCTGTGTCCCATCTTTAGAGAAGGAAATGGAAGCGGTGACTAATTACGAGGGATTTCTCTGGGGGAACTGAGCAAGTTGGAGATAGAACGCGCCCAGTTCTGTTCCCTGTGGAATGTTCTGGAGACTTCGGCCCCATTGTCCGTCACTAGATGGGATTGTGTTTTGCCAGTGCTGAAGAGCTGTGCTTTTTATGAGCTGGTATTTTTCCAGCTAAAACTGAAGCTGCCTACTGCTGGTATCATGACCATTTATCATTTTGGGTCTCCCCTTTCTCTTTCTGGGGAACCCCTTATGGTTTGAGGGTTACAGAAAACCTCATAGCATATGCACAGGGTCCTATTTCCCTTCCACTTGGGCAGTCAGACGTCAACACCCATTTTTCAGGTAGTAATTATCAGGGACTGCATATCTTGTT